CAAGGCTTTGGAGATTATCCCACGCCAGCTGTGTGACAATGCCGGCTTTGATGCCACAAACATTCTCAACAAGCTACGGGCTCGGCATGCCCAGGTGGGTCCTTTCTCTCCCCAGGGTTCAGGGTTTTGGTTGGTGGGGCTAGATTCTGAATGTGAACTGTGCTTGCTTAAGCTGTGCATGCTTGGCCCAGGAGATAGGCTGCAACTCCACCCAGCCTGTCTGCCTGACCAACTGCCTTCTCTGAGGGCAGAGGGAAAGCCATGGTGCCAGCACTGGGGATCCAGGGTTTCTTCATTGCTTCTGCCAAGAGTATGATTCCTCCTCATGGAACCACAGGAGGAACCCTGCAGGCACCTTCCTGGAAGCATGCACTGACCACAGGGAGTGGGCTTATCAGTGTGGTGGTGAAGCTCTCCAGAGCCCTGCTGACCTGTGGCCTTGCTGGGGCTTCACCACCAAGTGTGACCCTGGGCTAGTTACTTCAACCTTTCTGAGACTTTAACTTCTCCATTTATTAAATAGATAGGTTTGTTAAGTGCTTAGCAACGAGTGAATGACCCTGCTTCTGGCATGTATTAGGACTTTTGCTTGAAGTCACTTTACCTCTGTGTCTCCCTTTCTTCATTTATAAAATTGGGCTTAATTGAAGCAATGAGATGAGAGAGATTGGATAGTAGTTTTGTTATTCTCGTTTATCTTGAGATCTCATTGTTTGATATATGTATAGTCCTCAGGTGACCTGAGGATGGGGACACCCCAAAACACAACAGCTTGCCTGGGAGGAGATCCCAGAGTTCTGGTGTGTATGTCCAGGGTTAGAGGGAGGAGTTGGCAGGAGTAGGGGTGTCCCCAGGTTCCTGACATGCTGCCACAGGAAGATGCAGTACTCTTCGGGGAAATGCCACCAAGTTGAGACAGTCTGAGGGTTCCTAGCAGTGTCTTTTGGAGTACCAGTTTACAAGAGGAAAGTTGAGTGCAGTTCCATATTACCTCCTTTCTTTTCTACTCTTTCAGGGGGGCACATGGTATGGGGTAGATATCAACAACGAGGACATTGCTGACAACTTTGAGGCTTTCGTGTGGGAGCCAGCTATGGTGCGGATCAA